TAGTGCAGTTCACAATAGGGTTCGCGCTCCAATGAGAATTGAGGTAGAGTTCAGGCCGTAATGTGAGTGATGGGGAACAGCTGTAAATACAGATGAAGCTTTGCTTGTCTGCCTGATGCTCACCTCCTGCTGTGCAGCCTGGTGTTTTAACAGCCCCTGGGCCACTACAGATCCGTGACCTGGGAGTTGGGGACCCCTAGTCTAATGGGAATAAGTACATGGAGCTACAGAGGCATCTAGCACCCCTCTCTCCTAGTTCTTCTGTCTCACAGGATACTTTTTCTCAGCCATGTTTTATCATATCCCACTTCTCCGATTTAAAAATGCTTGAGTGCTCTGAGCTTAGCTTGGAAATTTTCTCTTTCCTCCTTATGCTTACTCCTTTGACGATCGCTCCTAATTTCATGAAGATAAATAATATATGCTGAAGATTCTAAAATTTCTATCTCGGCCTGGATTTCTCTTTTGAACAAGGATTGTAAGTCCAATTACTAATGATATTGTATTATTGTATTAAATATCTTTTACTAATATTACCTTTACCCTGTCCCGCTGATGTCAAGGATGGGTATATGAATTGCTTTGGACAATGCCACGTGAGTGGAAGTGGCATGGGTCACTTCCGAGAAGATGCCTCGAGAGCCATCAAGAGCTCTACTGTGCTCTTTCTTCCTCTGTCCTGACACCAACAATATTCCAGATACAGGCTTCTGCTTTAGCCTGAGACACAAAGCCACAGCTGAAGTGCAACAGACACAAATGTGAGCAAGAAATAAACCTTTTCGCTTTAAACATTAAGATTTTTTGAATTTTTTGTCTATTGCTACAAACTTAACCTAAACAGATTGAGAGAGGATCTCAACTTAACATGCACAAAATTGAATGGCTAATTTTTTTCCTGCCCCCCCCCATCTTCTGCAGCCTGCAGAGGTTCCCTATTTTGGTAAACAGCAGCTTTAATCTCCCAGTTTTCAGACTAAGAACCTTGGATTTCTCTTTGATTACTCTCTGGAGGTCACACTGCACATATAGGCACCAGGGCTACATTGATAAACAAAACTGACATGAAAGGTAAAAATACCTGTTGATGCTACATTCAAGGGGCATGAGGCTGACAATTATTGTAAGTCTTTAGCTTTTATTCTCAGTGGACTATGGCAGCACTGGCAAATGTTGAGCAGAGGAGGGACATGATCTGGCTTGCATCTTAAAAGGCTCACTCTAGCTGTCAGGTTGAGATTAGGAGTAATGGGGTGGGAGGGTGTTAGAAGATAAGGTCAGAAGTGAGAAGTCTGATTTGGGAGGTGATTACAAAAATTCAGGATGCCGGGTGGAAACATAGTGGTAAAATATGATGTTCTATAAGGCAATTTCACGTGGGAAGGTTTCCAGTTCAAGTCTGGACACCTCCCTGTGTTTGCCAAGCTCACACTTGCCCATGATCCGAGGTTGGCTTAAGGCTGCGAGATAGATAGTGGCATGGAGACCTGGTAGGGTGTCCTTTATCTCACTCTCAGAAGAAAGTAAATAAACTTAAAATATTATTTATGTAAGAGGTGACAGTAACTCAGTAAAGGGTGATTGCAGTGATAACATTAGATACTGGATAGATTTTAAATAATTTCCTGGTGGGTTAGATATGAAGAGTAAAAAGAAAATGTCATGTATGACTTCAATGTTTTTGCCTTGAGTAGCTGGGAGAATTGAGTTTTCCTCAACTGAGATGGCAGCAGGTTTGGGCAGGGGAGCAGAGAAGAACTCTTCCCATGGGACCTCAGTTTCAGATGTGTTTATAACATTCTTTACTCAAGTGTATGGGGTGACTGATTAATCAGTCATATATTCAAGTCTGGAATTCAGGGGAGAGGTCTGTGGTAGAGACTTAAATTAGGAGTCATCAGCAAATATTTGGTGTTTAAAGACACATACTGTGTGAGATGACCAAGGGAATGAGAGTAGCAAAAAAGAGAACTAAAACTAAAGCCCTTCCATCTGGAAGAAGAAGTAACAGCAAAGGAGATGGCGAAGGAACAGCCAAGCATGTAGAAAAAGGCCAAAAAAGTATGGTATCCTGGAAACCAAAAGAAAAGTTTATGGGGAAGGGGGATAAATTGTAGCTATGAAGATGACAACTGAAAAGTGATTATTAGATTTAGTGACATGGAGGTGATCTTGACCAGAGTAGATTAGATGGAATCGTGGCAGCAGAAAGCCTTAAAGGCAATGTGAGAGAGAACAGGTGAGTGGGATTGGGTTTAGGCATTTCATTACAAAGAGAGCAAAGAGATGGATTGATCAGTGCTGGGAAAAGTGATGTTTAAAGTTGGCTATTAATGTTTGCATCCATATCCTAAATTATTATTATTATTATTATTTTGGAGAGATTTTCACTGTAGGGCGCGTGCGCTCGCCAGACAGACAGAGAGAGACATAGAGACAGAAAGCGAGAAATCATCCCCCAGGGGGGATGGTCACGCCGCAATCCCTTCTCCTCCATTCTCCTCTCGGGATCCTGGGCACGCACGCACACGCGCCCAGCGTGAGTTTTAAGCCACCGGGTCCGGGACACGAACCACGGTCGACTACGTGGGAGTCCAGCGACATAGCCATTACGCTAACTGCTGGTTCCCATATCCTAAATTATTTTCAAAGATGCTATCCTATCATTCCAGAGTCAGCACAGTCATGCATTAGGCATCATTATCATCTCCATTTATAGAGTTGGGCACAAAAACCTTCAGCACAGGAAGATAAATAACTTAGTCCAAGTTTTCAGAGATAGCCAACTATAGAGTTGCCTGACTACAGAAGTTGCTCCAAAGCAGGGTTGCTGGTAAGCCACTTGGTGGCCTGCGATATTAGAACGCAGTACTCCCTTGCACAAGTAGATTTTATTATTGATTTAAAGTTATTTTATCTAAATTTATTTGTTTATTTTAATTTGACCAGAGAGGGACAGAGTGAGAGAGTGAAAGTGAGAGAGAGAGAGAGAGAGAGAGAGAGAGAGAGAGAGAGCCGCCGAGAGAGAGAGAGAGAGAGAAAGCCGCCAGGTCCGGCACTTGAACCACAGTCAGTCATGTGGGAGTCTAGCACCCTTAACCACCATGCTACCTGCTGGCCCCTGCAAGTAGATTTTAAATTTCATTATCAACATAAATAGTCCCCCCAGTTAGTTACCCAGGATACCCAGTGGCAGTAGCCCTGTCTATGAGTACACAAGTGACTCTAGTTTTACCTGTTTCCACACCAAGACATATTATCCTCTACACAATTTTCAAATATTTTGTATATTGTATATCATCTCCTGAATTGCTTTTGGGAAAGTCTAATCCATTGCTTCTGAACCTTGCCTTAGGCAGCTGAGGAGATGTGACTCTTCAACTATTGCTGAATGAAACATGGGGACCGGTAGTTAGTGTAATGGTTATGTTGCTGGACTTCCACGTAGTCGACTGCAGTTCATGCCCCGGACCCGGTGGCTTAAAACTCATGCTGGGCGCATGTGTGTGTGTGCCCAAGATCCCGAGAAGAGAATGGAGGAGAAGGGATTGTGGTATGGCCATCCCCCCTGGGGGGGGTAATTTCTTGCTTTCTGTCTCTCTGTCTCTGTCTGTCTGGCGAGCGCACGTGCCCTATAGCAAAAACCTCTCCAAAAAAAAAAAAAGAAATAAAATATGTATTGAACATATATATACACAACTACTCGATAAAGCATAACTGCTTTTGATTACTACAATGTAAATTCATTCAAAACATTGCTGAATTCATAGCAGGACTGCTATATATTTTTAAATTCAATGAATACTGAATATGTGACTGGTATTATGAACTAGTTCAAGAAAATTTCTAGCGTTAAAAAAGTAGCTCAGGTCAAAAAGGGTTCTGGGGCCAGATAAACCTTTATAGAACTATGTCACTATCAATTAGTTGTGTTGCTCTGGACAAAGACTTCACAAGTTTACTTTTTCATCTCCAGAGGAGGGGTTACAAAAGTAATCTTGATTTTCCTGACTGTTAGAAAATACATGGTACTTTTTAGGTACTCAGCAAGTGCCAAGAATAAAATGAAAAGCAGAGGTCAAATTAAAATCCATCATGAGGGGCTGGCAGGTGGCGGGGTGCGGGACTCCCACATGATTGACCACGGTTCAAGTCCCGGACCTGGCGGCTTGCTTCCTCACTTTCCTTCTCTCTTTCTCTCTCACACACTCTATCCTTCTCTGGTCAAATTAAAATAAGTAAATAAAGTGAAATAAAATAACTAAAAAAAATATTTAAAAATATCCACCATGAATCCCATGTTAAAAAAGGATACTTTCCCCTTGGGACCCATACTTTATGAAGGGTTTTTGTCTAGTGACAGGAATACTACTACTAAAATTAGAAAGTTACTCGCAGTGGTGAAGCATAATAAGGCATTGGCAGTGAATTCCTGGATTACTTCATAATATCACCTACAGGAATCTGCATTTACTTCTATATGAGGAACATCAGATAAGAAGGACGCTATTTTGATTTGGTCCAGTTAACAAGATTTAAACATACACGTGAAATTTGGTTTTGGACATTTTGAGATTAAACTCCTAACATTTCGTGACTAAAAATTCACACACAAAGCAGCAAATATAATTATGCTGAAAACTAGACCCTAAAATTATTTTTTAAAAAATCAAACAAAGTTTTCTAGACAGACAGCGTAATACACCGTTGGAATAAGAGGCAACTTCGGAGCAACGCCGGTGATTATGCAACAGGCTCCGGTTGGCTGGAGGTCACCGCGCCCTCGTTACGTCACCACGGTGCGCGTTGCGCGCCGGCGCCTCGGCGGACGGCGTGAGTCATGACGCAGGGGCGGGGCGACTCCCGGCGCGCGCTCGCGCGCCTCCTTGCGGCAGCCTGCCCCGAGGCCACCCACTGGACTTGTAGGCTCCATACCCGGACCCCCCGCCGCCCGGTTCAGCCTGCCACGAGGCCACCCACTGGGCTTGTAGGCTCGATACCGTGCCGCCCTGACTCCGGTTTGCTTGGATCAGCGCATGCGCCTAACTTCCTTCACGGCCCAGCGTCAGGCGAGGGGCGACGCCTCGAGGTAATACGGAGGAGGTGCGCGAGGCGGTCTCTGCGCCGGCCCAGTGGTTCTATAGAAGCCGAACCTCCTGGCTGCCAGGGCAGGTGCGATGGCGGAGGAGCAGGTGTCGGCTCCCGATATCAAAGCCGCGGCGACTTCAGAACCTACGGTGTCCGAGGTCGCCGCGAAGTCACCGGACCCCGAGGACTACGACAGCAAGTGCGTGTTCTGCCGCATCGCGAGGCGGCAGAGCACCGACACCGAACTCCTGCACTGCGAGGTGGGCGGTGATGCGCGGTCCGGGGACGGGGCGGGGGTGGGGGCTCGACAGCCCCTGGCATCTCCTGGAGGCTCACGATGTAGAGCAAGGTGGGGAGGATCTGATTGCCATCCAGAGCTGCCCTAAGCAGTGTGGATGGGGTTTGGGGAGGATGGGGAAACGTCCACCCCTCCTCACAGTGTCCTCGAGTTAATGATGAACTTCTCTGGGGTGGGGACGGTTTCCAGCTGTGTCTTTGCATAGAGTAACATTTTGTAGTCTGTGCTTTTATGACAGGGATTCTTTTTACCGCATTGTGTCTAGATCCTGATTTTTAAGTTCTGCACACTCTGATGCTGAAGAGAAAACAGGCATAAACTATAATGGATAACGAAACTGTGAAGAGCTTCTTGTTAAATTGCCTAGAAGTTAGCTGTGGGGAGTGGACCTAAGGTCGAACTATTACTTAATAGCGTCTGATGTGCACTGAAGGTTCATTATTACAGGGGATGTTTGGAAATATTCAGAGTGCTAAGACTTTGCCCAGATATTTTAAAGCAGATATCTGGTGCACACTTTGTTCTGCCGGTTCTTCTTGTCTTTAAAGAAACAACCTTTCAAGATAATTGGCTCCAATGATTGTCTTTTTGGTAGTAATTGTTCATTCATATGTTTAAAAGAAATTGAATTTTCTTCTAAACACCTTGTTTTGAAGACTTGAGTGTTGAACAACATAAAGGACAGTCCGTGTGTAGATTTTGTAACCGACAGAACGAATACAGAGAAGACTGCCAGTTACTGTGTACTGTGCTATGGTCAGGTGGTTTGAAAATATTTCGTAAGGGTGTGGGAGGAGCATCTACCTCAGATTTGAGGAGTTTGGAAAGGCTCTTCAGAAGAAATATCAGGAAGGGGAGAGAAGAATGTTTCAGGTAGCAACTTCAAAATTTATTACAAAGTGGTCATAAAACATCTTGGTACTGTCACAAAAATAGACGCATAGACCAATGCAACAGAATAGAGAATCCAGAAGTAAATCATACAGCCAGTTGCTCTTTGACAAAGGGCACAAGTCAATGCAGTGGAGAAATGAGTCTTTTTCAGCAAATGGTGCTGGAAGAATGAGATATCCACCTGCAGAAAAAGAAACTGGACCTGCTATCTCTCACTGTGACAAGAATCAACTCAAAATGAATCAAAGACTTAAATAGGAAGCCTCAAACTATAAAAATACTAGTAGAAAACTTAGGGGAAACTCTTGAAGATATTGGAGATTTCTTAAATAAACCCATAAAACACAGGCAGTAATCCCTAGAATAGACAAGTAGGATTATATCAGGCTAAAAAAGCTTCCTCACAGCAAAGGAAACAGTAATTAGAGTAAAAAGCAAACCCTCAGAATGGGAGAAAATATTTGCATGTTTCTCCTGAGACAAGTCATGACTTTTTCTCTGTTTTTCTATGCAAAAATGAGTCATGATTTTCTGACAACCCAATAAATTAATACAACTTTTGCAGAAAACAATATAGAGGTTCCTCAAAAACCTACAAGTTGAACTACCAAACGATCCTGTAATCCTACTCCTTGATATTTACCCAAAGGATAGGGAAACACACAGTTAGAAAGACACTTGCATATGCCTGTTTATTTCAGTATTAGTCACAATTGGAGAGTTGTTGTTTTTTTTTTGTTTTTTTTTTGTTTTTGCTTTTTTTGCTTTAAGGTGTGTGTGCTCGCCAGACAGACAGAGACAGATAGAGAGAAATCACACCCCCCCCACCACCCCCCCGGGGAGATGGCCACACCGCAATCACTCTGCTACCCCTTCTCTTCCATTCTCCTCTCGGGATCTTGGGCATGCATGTACATGTGCCTGGCTTGAGTTTTAAGCTACCGGGTCCAGGACTCGAACTGCGGTCGACTACATGGGAGTCCAGAGACATAGTCATTATTGCTATTGCTGGTCACGCAGTATTAGTCACAATTGGTAAGACATGGAATCTTACTAAATATCCCAAAACTGATGACTGGGTTGAAAAACTGGCACATATATACCATAAAATATTACTTGGCTTTAAGAAACAGTGAGACCCTATCATTTATTTCCAAGTGGGCGACTGTAGAAGACTAAATGTTAAGTGAAGTGAGCCAGACTTTGAAAGATACACACTGTATCTTTCCACTTAGTATGTACTGAGTATGTCTGCACCCTATGGCAGAAATGGAAAGATCTGAAGTTATATTAGCGAAGGTAAGTGTAGATACCAGAGATTGTAAGGGAGGGGAGTGGTTGGTAGGGAATGACTGGTAGAGGGTAGGCATGAGGTGTAAAGAGAAGACATTTAACAGACAAAAAAATGTAAAGTTCTCTGTTAAAAGAATATATATATATATATATATATATATATATGATAAATAAAAATAAAAGGTATGTACTGTTTATAAAAGGGATATCTAAAATGTGAAAATGGGAAAAGTTTGAAAAATCAAAGAATAAAAAAGTTATCCTACAAATTCTAACCAAAGAAATTTGGTGTAGCTATATCAAAAAGAGAGAGACTTAATTACAAACACAAAAGAGAGAGAGAGAGGAACAGAAAGGAAAAAGAGAATGTCTTTGGTAGAGAGAACCTCCAGTGGTTCAGTTTGTGCCATAAGAAAACGAACAGACATTGCCTAAGTGGAACATGAAGTGTGAGGGATGAGGGGCCAGATTATTAATAGTGTATTGAAATTCATGTTAAAGAGTCTTATCTTTATCTGAAAAGAAAAGAGAAGCTCCAAGATTTCTGATACTGGGTTGGGAGGAAGTAGTCAAGGAGTTCTAGCCCTTTGAAGGGCTGTTATTGCACCATCCTGGAGAACAATTTGGAGAATGACTGTGGAGACACGGAGACCTATTAGAAGGCTCTTGCAGTAATCTCTCCCGAGGATGGCCTGAAATAAAAATGTTATGGGGATAGTGGGTCAACTTAAGAGATTTTTAGAATGTAAAACATACAGGTAAAAACTTGTTGATAGATATAGATGAGTCAGCTAGGGGCAATTTCTTCCCCCTCCCAGAGGACATTTGGCCATGTCTTCAGATACTGTTGATTGTAAGAGCTGTGTGTGGCAGGGGGTTGGGGGGTTGCTATTGGCATTTAGTGGGTAGAGACTAGGGTTGTTCTTCACAGTGTACAGTGAAGTCCACAGCGTCTCACAACAAAGAACTGTCTGGCCTGAAAATAGCAAAAGCGCCAAGGTTGAGAAACCCTGATTTAGATGTAGGAGAATGAGGAAGAAGAAGGGGGAAGTCAAGGAGGATTTCTGGATTTCTGGCCTGGATAAACTGGTAGTGGTGGTACCATTTTATTAAGATTGAGAATGGAGGAGGAGAACAGATAGCCAGGGTGGAAAAGCACAGAGTAATGAGTTCAGATTGGAGTTGTGGAGTTTGAGGTGTGAAGCGTCTAAGTAGAGATGTTAATTAAATGATTGGATAGTCTGGCACACTAGAGAGGTGAGAGAGATCTGTATCTCTAGTCCAGATTATAGCAACTGTCAGTTTTTAGGTGGACATTGAAAAGATGGGAATCAGAGACATTGCCTAGGAAGCACATGTAGAGTCAAAAGTGAAAGAGGGCTTACCAGAACTCTAAACAATAGTCACATCATTAAGGGACAGGCAGAGGAAGAGGACCTGCAAAAAGGACAGAGAAGGAACAGTCAGAGAAATAGAAGGAAAACTGGAAAAGCTAAGAAATGAGTGGGTCAAGAAGATAGGAATTGTCACCAATAATCTACAGTAATATTAGCTTTTTCTAATCTTCAGATTTGGGTGAGGCATCCTTCTTGTGTACTTGTGGAGAGGCTGAGCTAGATCAGGACTGGTTTTGTCTCTGAAATGGCAGTCATTGACCTTAAGGAGAGCAATTGTAGTTCAGTAGTGAGGCAGAAGGCAGATTGCAGTAGATTGAGGAGAACTCAGGGAATGAAAGAATTATGACACCAAATATAGACAACTGTCACAAGACCTGGCTGTCTAGGGGACGAGGGAGAGGAGATATAGCTATAGGATGAGTGGGGGGTTAAAGAAGGCTTTTAAAAATTGGGACCAACAGATGGCATAATGGTTACATCACTGGGCTCCCATGTAGTTGACCATGGTTTGAGTCCTGGACCCAGTGGCTTAAAATTAACCCTGGACGCGTGTGCACCCAAGATCCCAAGAGGAGAATGGAGGAGAAGGGATTGTGGCATGGCCACCCCCCTGGGGGGCGATTTCTCTCTTTCTTTGCTTCTTTCTTTGCTTCTCTTTCTTTCTTTCTTTCTTTCTTTCTTTCTTTCTTTCTTTCTTTCTTTCTTTCTTTCTTTCTTTCTTTCTTTCTTTCTTTCTTTCTCTCTCTCTCTCTCTCTCTTTTTCTCTCCAGTTAGTACACATGCCCTATTATGAAAATCTCTCTTAAACAACAACAACAACAAAATAGCGAGGACTTAGGTGTGTTCAAATCCAGACTGGAAGATGCTCATAGAGACAGATTTAAAATGACCCAAGGAGGTAGAACTTTGTCCCTTGCAAAGAGACAATTCATCCACTTATTCTTCGCTCAGTGTTCAATGAATGTCTGCTCTAATTTTAGAGGCATGGATGCAGCAGTAAACAAAACATGCAAGAGTCCTCCCCTGTAGGAGCTTACTTTCCAGTCACAGGGAATAGACAATTAGCAAAATAATAAATAACATTGTTATTAGTTGGTGAAAAATAAAGTGGAGGGGGATGCAGATTTAAAATGTTAGAAAAAGCAGCACTAAGAAAGTGGCATTTGGATGAACCCTTGAAGGAAGTAAAGTTGGAATTATGTTTTTTGTTTTTTTTTCAGAAGTAGAAAGTTTGAAACAGGTCCTTTGAAGACCAGGAGAGCAGATCAGGAAAATTGAAGGAATGCTGAACAGTGTTGAGGGTTAGTTTAGGGTGAGGATATTCAGTTTATGGTTATACCAGTCTGCTCAGTTGTGTGATTTTTTTTTTTTTTTACATCATCATTATTATTTTTTTGTCACTCTCCAGCAGCAGCCTGAGTCTAGGTTCAGAGCAGGTAGACAGTTGTGTTGACTCGGGGTTGAGGTGTTACCACACAGGTGTTACAGAAATTCATTGGAGGTACAGTAGTAATATAATGCTATGTGATGCTGGACCCACATGGAAAGGTCCCTGGCTTGTCCCAAGGCTTCCCGTGCACACTGATAGTGTGCATGTGGCCATGATCCAGGCTGGCTGAGGCTGCAGGTAGATCACAGCATGCGGACCCCATGGGGGTGCCTGTCTCTTTTTTTCCATGGAAGAAATAAATGCTCTTAAAAAAAAAAAAAGTGCTTGGGACCAGCAGGTGGTGTGGTGGTTAAGGTGCTGGAGACTCCCACATGGCCAACCACGGTTCAAGTCCTGGACCTGGTGGCTTGCTTTCTCACTTTCCTCTCTCTCTCTTTCTCTCTGTGTCTCTCTCTGGTCAAATTTAAAAAAAATGAATGAATGAATAAATAAATAAATCTTTAAAAAAAAAGAACGTGCAGTGGGACAGAGTTAAGAGTAGCTGATGGGACCTGCAGATGGTGTAGTCGTTGAGTTGCTGGACTCCCATGTAGTAGGCCATGGCTGACCATGTTTGCGTCCTGGACCTGGTGGCTTGCTTTTTCACTTTCCTTCTCTCTCTCTCTCTCTCTGTATCTCCCTCTGGGCAAATTAAAATAAATGAATGAATAAATACAATTAAATAAATAATTCTTTTTAAAAAAGTGTATATTAAGAATGAACAAATCTTAGTTTAGGGTAGGAATGGAGAGATGATAATGAAGTGTTAAAACTCTGAGATTTATTGATGAAGTTTAAATGAGCTTAAATCATAATTGTTTTCCTGAAATTGACTTTATATAAGACTTTTTATTCTTTGGAATAAATGAGCTTGTCTTTATGAACTTAATGAACAATCATAACATTGCTTGATGGGGCTTAGTTGTAACTTTAGTACCATTTTTCTATCAGATTTAGGTTTTGTGATGTTTAAGTCATGATGGAACATTCCTAAATGGGACATTTAGTAAATTCTTTCTAGAAATTTCTAAAAATTGACTGGCAAATATGTTTTTCCTTTAGAATGAAGACCTAGTTTGCTTCAAAGATATCAAGCCAGCAGCACCTCACCATTATCTTGTTGTGCCAAAGAAGCATATAGGAAACTGCAAAGATCTAAGGAAAGATCAAATAGAATTGGGTAAGATGATGATGGTATTCTTCATTCTTATATTGTCTTGAATTGGCATTAGCAATGGCAGTGAAATTGAAAAAGAAAAAGGCTAACCAGGTAGTATAAAACAGGGTCATTATAACTTTTTGAAACTTACATGGTAAGATATTTCAAGATGATACAAAAATAAAGAAAATAATATAATATCCATGTATTCAGCACTCGAATTCAACATTTATTAATGATGACCAATCTTTTTTCATACATTAACATTTTCCCATAGTTGATTGAAAGGGAATTCCAGACATTATGCTATTTAATGTTTAAAATCTATGAAAGATGATGCTTCTTTGTGATCTTTTAAAATTATGACTTTTCTTGACTATGAAAATGAAAGGTACTGGGAACCAGCGGTTAGCATAATGGCTATGTCGCTGGACTCCCATGTAGTCGACCGCGGTTCGTGTCCCAGACCCAGTAGCTTAAATCTCACGCTGGGCGTGTGTGCCTGCATGCCCAAGATCCCGAGAGGAGAATGGAGGAGAAAGGATTGCGGTGTGACCATCCCCCCGGGGGGTGATTTCTCGCTTTCTGTCTCTATGTCTCTCTCTTTCTGTCTGGCGAGCGCACGCGCCCTATAGCGAAAATCTCTCTCTCAAAAAAAAAGAAAGTTACTGTGAAAATTATAATCCAATAAGTCTGATACGGCATATGAGCCAGCATGATCTGTTGGTACCGGTCCTGTAGTTTCCTATAAATTAATAGATTAACAGCAGAGTTTAATTACAAGGTTTTGGTGATGAACTTTAACCTCTGTCGAAGAGATTCTGAATTTTGCCTATTGCTGGATTATTCTGCATTTTCTTGTTCATGCCTGAGTGACTTGGCAGCTGTTGTTTCCCAAGACATTTCCAAGTTCACCTCAAGTCTGCTTTGACAGTCTGTCACTAGGGTTCTGGGCTTAGTTTGGGTAATACTTTATGGTATCTGCAAGATAACTAAATTGAGCTGGACTTTTAAAAGGTAAGTAAGGAACTTCTTTGTTGGAAAACCTTGATGTGTAGTTCAGTAATGTTTAAGCTGTTGGTGGGTATTTTGACAAGGTCTTACCACATCACAATTCCTCTGCCCGAACTTCTCAAGTAGTAATAATCGTAGGTGTACCATTCCGTGTGGCCTGTTTAGGTTGAGCTGGGAACCAAACTTGGGCCTTCCATGTGATCTCAGTCACCACCCAGTGGTGCCCTTCCATCTGCAACACTGTGATGGTCTTTTCTTTCCTTTTCTTTTCTTTTCTTCTTTTTAAATGTAGTATTGAAAAACCTTGGTCTTTTAATTGAGATATTTAGTCTATGAGCATTAATGTTGTCTCTTTCTTAGGTAATAATAAATAAATAAACTTAAAGCCCAGTCAGGATGATGCAGGCAGTAGGGACACTGTTGTGCATTGCTGGAAGCCATGAAGGAAGGCTCTGGGTTCACTCTCCAGGTCTACCTGAGCAGGCTGGATGTGCCTGTTGGCATGCCTGGCTGGCTACAGAGCTCAGAGGATAGTGTCAGCATGAAGACACTGTCAAGGGTGCATCTCCCTCTCTTTGTCTCTCATAAAAAATCTAAAAATATAAAAGAAAAAAAATTTAACTATTAATGTAGTTAGATTTTGATTTACCATCTTGACATTTGTGTTCTATTCATCCCATGTAGTGGTTGTTGCCCTGTTTCTTCTTTCCTACCTTCTTGTGATTTATCAAATATATTTTTTAGTACTTCACTTTAATTAATCTGTTTTTTCTTCCTTCCAGTCAGTGGTTGCTGAGATTACCAACACACATTTTTAATATCATAGTCTATTTAAAGTTAATTCAGTATTAGATCAATTCATGTAAAATGTGAAACTTTGCAATACTTTGTGGTGGTGTCATATTTATTACTTTGTCATACTTTATAATCCCATAGTATTGTTGAAATTATTGCTTGAAAACTCATACATCTTTTAAAGACATTAGAAGTAAAAACATAGTCTTTTGTGTTTACCCATGTGGGTAAATTTTAGGAGAAAAAAAGAAACATTCTGATTTGAAGTAATTTGGTAGCTTTCCCCCCCCCCTTTTTTTTTTTACCATATAGTACTGACTTAGTCATGAAAGTCTGACAGTCTCCCAGCTCAAGCCTGATTAGAGACGTAAAACATTAACTGATGTTACAAAGTATCAATATAGAATTAGTACTCTGTAGATTTTTCTACTTCTCCTTTTAAATACATAATTATTCAGAAACGAAGGAGACCTAAGGTTTGACATTGTGCTTTGAAGAATCCAGGTTATCAAAATTTTTCTATTGGAGAGGTTTATTTTCGCTGAAAAGCCATAAAGCACCTAGAAAAGAAAGATGATAAGGCAGATAGAAATTTGGAAGCCAAAGTTGTTCCACAAAGGTTTGGATAGTTAAGGGTAGGCTGACTTAAAGGAATATTAAATCCCTAATTTGGGCTCAAAGACAAATTCAAAATTTTCCTGTATTTGTTACTAATTCAGTTAATTTATATCTAATTACTTAGTCTGCTTAGAACTAGACCTCAGTAGGGGCAGCTGTCCTAAATAGCCACTTGATAATACTTCCTATTTTTTAAAAAAGAATTATTTCATTTTATTTATTCATTCATTTATTTTATTTTGACCAGAGAGAGACACAGGAAAGAGAGAGAGAGAGAGAGAGAGAGAGAGAGAGAGAGAGAGAGGAAGTGAGAAAGCAAGCCCTCAGGTCTGGAGCTTGAACCAGGCTCCAACACCTTCACCACCACACCACACCACCTGCTGGTCCCTTGATTGTTTAACAGCTGTCCAAAGTGAGCATATATGTGACATTTTGTGGTAGCGATGTACTGGCACTCAACTTGAACCTTTATTTTAGTTGTTGATAAACACATTTCTCAATAACTTGAAGCTATAGATATGTCTTTAAATGTTTACTCATTTGATAAGACTTCTGACTAGGACTTTAAAGTTAAGATTGATAGCAATTCGAGGCTGGCAGGTGGCATGGTGGTAAAAGTGCTGGGCTCCCACATGGCTGACTGCGGTTTGAGTCCTGAACATGGTGACTTGCTTTCTCACTTTCCCCCTCTCTCTGTATGTGTCTTTCTCTGGTCAAATAAAAAAAAAATAGCAATAATAATAATAAATAAAAATAAATAATTCTTTTAAAAAAAAGATTGATAGCAATTTACTGAACTTAATATCCCCTATAGTGTAATGTAATTTCTTTGCTGTTTTACAGTTGAAAACATGGTAGCTGCTGGAAAAACCATTCTTGAAAAGAATAATTTCACTGATTTCGCTAATGTAAGGTATGTATACTTCCAGATAGAAACCAAAATTATAAATCATTGATTTTTCTGGAATGGTATTTCTTCATGGAAAATGGAAGGTAGCAGAGTTTGTGATTTAAATGCAGTTTGTTTTTTAAACTGAGAATATGGTTCATTTATAGCATAAAGTTCATAAAACTTCCTCTCATGTTTCAACATCTTCCAATAATCTCTACTTATAGTTTGAGCAGACAGAATATAAAAGCAGTAGTTACAGGTCTGCCATTCGGTATGTGTATTCCTATAAAACCATAAACTTTGAATTTTCTTAGAAAACCCTTTGTTTTATATGATTTAAGAATACATTACTAGGGCCAGCGGGTGTTGTGGAGGTTAAGGTACTGGATCCCTCATGCCCAACTCCATAGTTTGAGTCCTGGACCAAGCAGCTTGAGAATCACACCGGGCATGTGTGTGGGAGTGCCCAACATCCTGAGAAGAGAGTGGAGGAAAAACGATTGCATCTTGGCCATCCATCCTAGGGGATGATTTCTCATTTTCCATTTTCCTCTCTGTTTTTCTGATAAGTGCATGTACCATATAGCAATATGTATATATATATACACACACACACAT